TGTCATTTTTATAATTAATAAATTAATTATATTAAATTTAATGGTCCACTACTGTTGGCAATACTTCTAACCACCGCTTTTTGTCATATTCAGCGAACACAATGTGTCTCACTTTGTCAACATGGTAAAGTTAATGAGTGAATTGATCCACACCCGCTTATATACATTATGAGAGACTCTCCCAAACAATCAGAACGTACCTTATTTGTTATAAGGTCCTTACTAACCGAAGCAGGAAATTAACACCAGACATATTGCAACTCTGTTTGTGTACATTAACTTTGGCTGGTACGTTTGTGTAGTGCAGCTACTGTCGGAGGCCAGACAGTAGGTAAACTGTACCAGCCACTGTAGAAGGTAACAAGGCACTAATTTCTAGATCGTGCAGTAGCCTAAATGTCTCTATGGCTAGTTAACAAATAAAAATGGCTTCCAGATGTTGGGACCTGCTTGTCAATATGACATTGAGAGAATGAGCAGACACCTGGAGGACAGCCAACATGCACAGAGAGAGAGCAATAGTGTCACCACTCCTCCTCCTCTTCCATCTGATGGAGAAGTGGTACGATCGGGTGTGTTTCTGTCTCTCCTGTCTGTGCTGCAGGGTTTGAAGGCTGCTCCATGGTGCCCTCTATCTACCCGCTGGAGACGCTGCACAACTCACTCTCACTGAAGCAGGTGGACGAGTTCCTCAACACGATGTGTGAGAGCAGCAGCGAAGCCCACGCCAAAACCATGAAAGGTAGGCCTGCATAGTGAAGCAGCAACAACTATTGTATACCTGCTAGTCTGCCTTTCTTTAGTTTAGTTCTTCACCAGTTATGAAATGCAGACTAAAACTTTTCCAGTTCTAGTGCAGCAAATATTTTAAACACAAGTATGCCAATTTATTTCAAATGATTGAATTAAAAGAGAGGTACCTTTGCAAATTCTGGCCAGTTGAGAAAAGTGTTAATGTTATTAATGTATTTGTAAAATGTATCTATTTTAATCCTTTGAGCTATTTTGTAAGATATGTTTGCTTTAAAACTTTTATTATCAGTTGCATTTTGAGTATTTATGATTTAAAATACAGGCAGTCTTACTTGGACATTTGTTGTTGTGATGTAAATGATCATGTGATTCACAGACTGAAGGTAAGAATTCCTCAAGACAAACAAGAAATGATGAATGAATGACACAGAAGCATCAGGGAAGATGCCAAGTGCTTAATACCCTGACCAAATAATGTATTTGACTATTTGCGTTGATTTGAACTTGTCATATTCCTTTCTGTCCCTTTTTTAAAATTGAGGTCTATGTGCTAAAATTCCTATAATCCTGATGTGATACAGATGTTAACACCCATATATTAATGCTTAAAGTAATAATATATAGGATACGCTGGAGTAGAGGCAACAACAACTCTGGAAGTATTAAATACCGCACTGTGGTTCCATTAAATAAACTGAACTCAGTATATGACCTTTGGAAACTGATCTCAGTGTTGTTTTTCCCGTCTTCACTACAGCGCTCTCCAGCCTGTTCGACTCCCAGAGCCAGACGTCTCTCTACAGCCCTCAGCAGCCTCTGTCCTCCTCTGGATCTGAAACATCTCTTCGGCCAAGCCGACCACTGTGGTGTGAGTGTTTAAACGATTTCATGACATATGCAGTATGCAAGTCTGCTTCTATCTCTTCTGATACATGACCTTTGGGATTGAGAACTGTTACTGCAATGCAATGAAATGTGTGTGTGTGTAGAGATAGATTGGAAGAACACCGGTTTTAAAATTACATTCTGGCAGGTAAAATCTACATGTGCCTCTTAGTGGACACAATAATACATTTTTCATTCATATACTCCCGCTGCGTAGTGTTCAGTTTCTGATTCTGCCTCAAAGAAGGCTTTTAATCCTCCCATAGAGCCGATCTGCGGTCAGACTGTCACTGCACTGAGCAGCTCCCATGTGTGAAAATTAGTAACTATACCACAAAGTGATGCTGAAAAAGGCTGTGCATGCTCAGCAAAACCTGGATTAAGATAAAGAGGCCTTCTGCACGACCTTCAGGTAGATGGTAGCAGATGTGACCTGATGGGCTTCATTTATCTACAATGACCTCGTGGCTACAAATACTAACAGTATCATATCAAACATGCCACATATTCAGTCCCACAGCAGCTAAAAGATATGTGTCCTTGAACCAGGCTCAGAACTCGGGCTGCTAATGACTAATTTCATTTTATTTATGAATCTGTTGTTTTGATGAATATATAAATTATTTTTGTAAAAAAGAGAACGCTTTGCTCACAGCATGTTCTACAGAGCTGTCGCTGCTGGCAACGGCAATATAATTGAGAATAAAATAAACCACCAGTGTTTGTGGACTCACCATAAAAATATGATCAATTACGCAGACTCGGCAGCCTCATGAAGAGGTACAATGGGCCAAAAGGCTTTTAATATGTAAAAACAAAACAATTCATGTACTAATCAGTGATAGCAGACTGTTTGTTTGGTTTTTTGCCAACATTTATTTTTAGTTTATGTATATTTTCTTTCAGTTCATTGTTTTATAAACAAAAATGATGAACTGAGTTGGGATTGTCAACTGATGATTACAAGGTCAAGAATGAACTGCTAAAATCAAAATTGTTGGAGATAAATTCGATTCAAATCAATTAAATGCTTTACTGCTACTCTGAACACCAACTTGAATGACCATACATTTCTCTGGGTAAGAGCATGATCTAGACTAATGTGCATATTTGGTAAGTTGGAAGTTGGATCTTCTTCCTGAACCACCTCCTTTTTACAACATTAGCTGTATTTTAGTAAACACATTTAAAAAAGAAAGTCCCCTCAAAAAGTCTAGAAACAATCATAGAAGGTGAATAACAGCAGGATGTAAATGTATGGCAGGCCACCGTGTGGTTTACTTAGAAAACTAAACTAAAATAGGACTCTTAGAGAACATCACAGCCCCTTTAACAACTGAGCCCCTCCTTTTTAATGTCGAGGGTGGCCTCTTCTCCTCCTCTCCTCTTTTCCTCAATCTGTTCTTTTTGTCTTCTTTTTTGGTGAGGTGATTCATTTATCCTCCTGCCAGCTGATTGGTGAAGCGTCTACTGTCCTATATTTCTAGCTCTCATGTTTCCCCCTTTCTCATCCACCACTTGTGTATGTTATTTACATTGTGCACACTTTGGGTGCCTTTTTATCTCTGTCTTCCTCCATCCTGTCGGTACCTGCTCCAGATCTGGGTTGCCGTGACAGCCGATAACTCATTTAGCCTCATTTATCACACGGTGTGTGGGCAGAGATGGTGGAGGTTACATCAGGATGAATATGACACTTCTGCGGATAATATGACTATGTTTGTTCTCCTATAAGCTGTCCTGCAGTTACAGTCCTGTGTCACTCAGATAAAGCCCAGACATTCAGACACAGTCATTGAGAAAACTGAAGTGTGAAACACTTTGTAGTGGAGGGACTGTCGTGGGTGTAAATGTTCATTATTATATTGACTAATGAATGCACTGCAAGAAATCTTAGTCTAAAATGCTTAGAGTATATTTTAGATACACACATTGAGGTACATGTGGCATGACTAATGAACCCCCCCCCCCAAAAAAAACTAAAAAAACTGTTTTTATAAAGTTCTCCATGGCAACAGAAAATGAGGTGGTGAGGGGATGACGCTGTTGCTTTCCTGTTTTTGTGCCACATCACTCCCTCTTTGTTCAGTTTGTGTCCTTTCACTTGATGCACACACAGTAACAACTCACACTTCAACTCAGGGTGGCGTAAGGGACAGCAAGTAATGAGATTAATACTTCAATAAAATGTAGGTGTTGTTCCAGAGATTTAATCTGTTTTCAGGTTGAGGTCAGAGTTGTTTTGTATGATCTGTGAGTGCATTAACAGAGATAATTGACTGAATTGTATGTGTTTTTTTTAAAAGATGGCAGTATCCCCTCCAGTGCTGTATCCAGTGCAGGTCCCTCCTCCCCAATCACAGAGAGCTCCGGTTTGAACTTCAGCTTCAGTGAGTAGACGGTCTGTCTGGAAAAACACAAGGACTTCTGGGTATCTAAGGGCACGATTTGAAGACTTGTTTGTCTGCCTCTCTGTGCTTTCATTCATCTTTTCCCCTGCCCTTCTGCTCACATTCACAACAAACACTGGAGGAGATGCTGATTTTGGAGCGAGTCCAAGCAGTCGGACTGTAAATATAATCACTCAAACTGTACACGGACTCTTCCACTGCGCCCCTCGTACATCTGATCACCACACCCTCTCGCCAGAAAGAGACAACACACCTTCAACGGTGTCACTCATCTCTCACCACCTCCGTGCTCCTCTTCAGTTGGCCGACACATTCACAAACCAGCTCAGCTCAGAACAGTGCTTCAAGCCAACATTCACACCGGTTGTGCCTTTAGTTTAATTTGGATGCTGCCTATGCCAAAACAACAACAGTGCCTGCTGTTTGTGTTTTACCAAATGTAATCACCAAATGACACGCAGCTGCCTCAGTTTTGACCTTAGACATGTACGACTCAAATGCATTACAGACTGACAGAGTGTTAACTGTCATTGATTTGCATTTGAAATAGTTTTTTTTTTTTTCCATCCTCACTGTTTTGTGGCAGAAATGTGGTTGGCCAGTCGCAGCCAACCCTGACACAAAACAGGGAGTTGTTTTTTGAAATTCAAGTGAAATTTAGTACTTTGATAAACAGTCTGTGGTGTGTTTCAGCTGCTAATGTCTGTAAAAGGCTGAAAGTTAAAGCGTAAAGGAATAGTTTAGCAAAATACGCTTAAGACTATTCCTTTAAAAATATATACACATTATAGACAACTGCACATGTCTGGTTTATAAAAGTGAATCTGCTTGATGAGGTTGCAGATTAAATTCCGAAATAATGGACCTTAATCTGAGGCTATTCTGAACATAAATCTGATATACGAAGATAAACATCATGCAAATATCAGGTACTTTTATGATTTCAGAGATTACAAACTGATTAGTCTTGAGAGGATTTTAAAGTTATACATTGGCCCGCTTTGGTACCTGCTACAGTCCGTTCAGTTTACTTTATACAACCAAAATAACGAGAAAAAGTGTAAAACCCGAGCCAGCTTGATCAAACTGTATTTGTCTTTTCAATGGTATTCCGTTGTTCAGTGGAAACACAATTTATCTGTAAATGTGCCTCTAATTGACTTTGAAAGAAATATTTAAGAGAGTATTGTAGACACTGTGGGTTTCCTGCTGTATTTTTATTATTTTGTAGGGGTTTACAAATCACAATTGATTTCAAGAAGATCTGTGGTATAGTAGTATTTTGGAATTAAAGGGAAGAACCACTTGATTAAGTGAATAGTATACATGTACTTTTACATAAGGACGACTACCTGTTTGTGTCTGCTGTCAAACCAAATTACATGTTTATTTTAATGTTGAATTAATCAAATGATTGTTTCTAATGATTTAATGAGTGATACTCAGGTAGACATATCATGAATCTACAGATGGAAATTAGTTTTATCAACATTTGACTGAACTGGGGGTCAAGTCACTTTCAATTATTTTGAAAATGAATAAATTCAGTGGTGAATTTAGTAGTTTACGCTCCAAAGAAATACTTTTATTACTTTGACCAAAACTTTATAGTATTAAAGCTCTACCATAAAACCAAGACCTGATGTTTTATTATTGTAGAGCACCATGATATTATGTTCAGGCAGTTTTGTCTGCGACACGTATAAATGGGAGAAATAACTCCCCGTTCATTTCAAGCTGGTTAAATTGAAAATTAACTGACCCCCAAAACCTAGTTACACTTCCTGTAGAACAAATGTGTGTGTATATATTTTTTAGTCATCATGGAAAGACTTTTAGTTTTAGATTTGAATAGGACTAATGATTATTTTTTTTAACCGAACAGTGGGTTGATGTAGGTAATTTTAGTTGTGTATTTATGTGATTATTTAATGTGCTATTTAATGTCAGCCAAAGAGGTGTGTTTTATGAGTTTGGCTGCTGGAGAACAAAGTCGAGGTTTAATGTGTGTAAGAGTTCTGTCGATCTCTAGAGGTTCAGGTTGGGCTGTAACGGTGGAAAGAGGAAGATGAAGAGGGGGGG